CAGTGAAAAACAAGTGGGATCTTCTGCCTTTTCCACTGAATAGTCAGGTTGGATGGGTCAAGGATTGACTACTGCAGGAAGCAAGAGGTCAAAAAGGAAGCAAGAAGGGCAGAGTAGAGATGAGAAACTGGTTGATAGGGAGGGCAGGGCTGCTCCAATAGACACGATAGGGGTTGAGTTCTTAGCTACCCAAAGACCAGAGAACAAGATAAAAGATTTTCCAAAGCCTCTGCATAGCTTGAAGACCTGGCCTTTTCTCCCAGGAGAGGTTAAAACGTATTTCCCACTGTACAAATCTTGCTTCCATTACCTTCATCAAGCCTTGTTCTCATCAGCTCCTGTAACCCTCAACAGGAATTTTAAGTGAGTAAGACAAACATGATTATGCCTGTAATGGTAATGGTAGTCATGTTTGTACATCAAGTAGACCTCATAGACTGCACCCTTGAAACCAGGAAAAAGCAAGACCTTGCTTTAAGGTCTTGAACCTCCAATGAGTTCATACAGGCAGTCTAGATACCTGCTGATGCTCCACAGAATTCAGTGGGGCTCCTTCAAACTGCAAAAATATGCCCTCCTACATCTCAGTGCAGGACCAGGGACTGGGAGAGCATCATAAAGAACATGAATGATCTTACCACTTCTGGGAGCAACTTATTCGCAAGGTCATGGATGGCTTTGCCCACTATACATAGAGATGACAGAAGAAATATCACACCCAAGATGACACAGGCTCTGAAAAGAAAAAAATGTTGAGAGCTTAATTTGAAACTTTCAGTCCTACTGACTAACAACAGTATAAACAACTTCAATGAAAAATTATACCAAAGATTAAAAAAGGGTTTACATTAAAGCATGGGACTAGAAGATCAGACTAATCCTTTTTCATTTCTTAAACTCTTTACAGGAAGTGAAAAGCAAATGGCAACAGTTATGTATGTAATGTGCCTTATGCGATCCCAAATGATGAATAAGGAAGCATTCTAGAAGCTTTCTTTCTGCTCAGTTTTTGCATTAGAAATCGCCAAACTAAATTTTCCTGGGAAGATTTTTTGGACAACCTGGATAGTAATTATCACAGGAACCTGAAGCCTTGATTGCAGTTCACCCTTCTCCAAACTGACAAAAGACAAAAGATTACAAATGAGAAGTCAGAAGAATTACAGCTCAGGTTTCAATATCACACTACAGGGAGTCCAGGGAGCTTAATGCCTGAAAGACCCAGATGTGCCTCAGAGTCCCATTGTACCAATCACAGTATAGAACTAATGCAAAAAGACCATCCGTTCCCCGAGATGCCTACAATCTGGGTTTATGAAAAGATGCAACATGTGGACACAGAAAACAAATGGACCAATGCTTAAGAAGTTCAGGTAACAGTGAAGCAACATGTTTTGCAAAGGACTGGCAACTCAGGAATTCCCAGCATTTCCACCCACAAAATGATCCCTATTACTCTTACCTGGGGGAGACAGGTTAATAGAATACAGTTAACTGAATAGGGCAGGGGAAGCTGCTGTATGTGGGTAGTGAGCCCTGGGCACTCAGTAAAGGGGGACACCAGGCATATGACGCGAAGTTGGAGCAGGGCAAGAGGAGGTGCCAGAAGTCACTGCCAAGAGTCCTGCAGTCACTACTAAATTCATTTTCATCTTCACTTGCCACACAAAACTGTGGTGGTTGTAGGGCCTCATCATGCAGTCCTACCTCCACTCCGCTCTGCGATCCTCCATGCAGCTGAACACTCAAGCTCCCCTATCATCATGCTGGCACCCTAGGGTACAAACTATCAAGTAGGCCAGGGCTGGACTGGGTTGGAATCAGAGTGGCATTTAGGGAAGGTATAGCACTTAACTTCTGATTAGGGACCTACAAAATTAGAAGGAACTTCATTAGCAGGAACTTGTTCACAGTTAGAGTGGCCAAGGTCTGGAATGGGCTCCCAAGGGAGGTGGTGCTCTCCCCTACCCTGGGGGTCTTCAAGAGGAGGTTGGATGGGCATCTGGCTGGGGTCATTTGAACCCAGCACTCTTTCCTGTCTAGGCAGGGGGTCGGACTCAATGATCTATCAAGGTCCCTTCCGACCCTAACATCTATGGCTCTATGACTATGAAATTCAAGGTGGAAGTAAAGTGCGTGGCGGTTCCTTTAACCTGGCATGATCCCCCCACATGCACCTCCCCCTCCCATCACTGCTGATCAGTGGAGGACCCCACCACTCCCTCCTGATCAGTAGGGAAGCTAAACCCACGGTTTTAAACATGGCACGATTTTTGCCTCCCCGCCAGTCAGCAGCAAACAGAAAGTCTGTCCAGGGCCCCTTAGCCAGTCTGTGGTGGGAGACAAAAGCAGCGCCATATTTAAAACCACAGTTTTCTCCTCCCCGCTGATCAGGAGCAAGCTGCAAGCGGGGGCCCTCCGCCAATCAGC